GCTATTGGAAAATATATTTCTTCATTTATTTCATTTATCTTATTATTATTTGCATTATTATTATAGCGTTTTTAATGCATATCTAACAATTTGACAACTGAATTTTACCAAGGCGCCAACTTTTTCAACTCCCTACTGCGATAAGAGTGACAAATTGAGATTGTTACAAAAGTTTCTGAGTATGTTTTACAATCATTTTTTGTTGCTAACTATTTAATTTGTCGTTTTTTCTACCTGAAGTTTCGAAACGACAAACTTCTTTCTTTTCGTTGCAGCAATCAGTTTTTTTCTTTGGGATATCTCGCTTAGACTATTTTATCGGAGTTTATTTTCAGAACCATTAATACATAATTCTTTTTTTGACGTTTTTTCGATTTTTTTCCTTCCTGACTTCTTCACTTCCTCACTTTTTTGGTCTTTTTTTTATGTTAATAGTCGGTTTGTCTTTCATACATAAGGTGAAAAGGGGAGAATATTGTGTATCTATTGTATGATCAGTAACGAAAATATTTATGCGTTATTATTTACTGCAAAATATCTTTGTGTTGCTTAACAGCTTTTTGAAAGTTATTCAAAAATGGGGATTAAACTGTTTGAAAAAGTGATACTGATTGGATATTTTTTCAGTGGAGTTTTCAGAGTTGAACTAGTCGTATATTTGTATATTTTGTGATACCAGAGACGGAAAAAGTAATTACGTTGAAAGAAAACAAGAACAAGATGAGAAAAAGAACTTGAACGTTTATAAATTGAGTTTTTTTTTGCATTTTTTGTTCGTTTTTTCAGGTTCTCGCGAAAGAACTTATTTGTAGTTGGGCTGTAATTGTGTTTAAGAAATGAAATTTTTCTCTTTGATTTAGCAGCTTTCGAAGTTTCAATGTGTGGGTGAAAGTCATGGTGGTTCTTTTCCTTCTTTCTCCCTTCTAGGGGTTTGCATCGTTGTTTTGTTAAGCTCAGAGTTGATGATGAAGAGGACAAAAAATTTTTATCCACCCTATGAAGAAACCGGTAATTACAAGTATTTTCCCATGCAGTTTACCTGAAACATCTATATGTTATCACGGCAAAGCCGACGGTCACTGGTTCGCAGGTCGTCGTTCATCGACAACAATAAAGAGAATGACGGCGATGACTGCGTTAATTGTTGCTCTATTGTTTATTCTTCCCAAACTCACCCTGTTTTTATTTTTTATTTTTTTGGTGTTCTCGCTGAGCTAATCATCTTCAATTTTAATGATTAGTAAACCCAGTAGACTTCAGTGTTTTATTTTGAAATTCATTGGTACCGCTTATTTGTTTACACTTATAGTTTTGTCTGCACTGCAGAAAAAATGTTTGTCTGTTGGCGGTGGTAACACTGATATGGTATGCTGTGCTGTCTTATATCTAACAAATAATACTGCCGATGTATCTGGTGCTTCTTTTTTGGTAAGTCGATGAACTTTCAATCATTATATTTCAAGAAAAGGTCTTTGACTTCATTTTTTCCTTTTCTTTTTTTTTTTTTTTTTTTTTTTTTT